CACCTGCCTCTCTCTGATATTCGCTTGCTTGCTTCTTCCTTGTCTAGCCCTGTCTCCAAAACCCACATCCAGTGGCAGCCGAGGACTTGTGTGCCTAGAGGGAGGCAGCACAGCATAATGTTCCGGGGCCAGACTTGGTCGTGTATCCAGATTCCTCCTTTAGTGCCTGTGAACTTGCACCATTTATTTCACTCTTGGTGTCGCCTCATCCTTTGTCATCCCAAGGGGATCATATTTGCTGCATGGGATCATCATGAGGTTTTGGGCAGCCAAGGGACATAAATCTCATAGGGATGTCCTGGCGTGTAGTTAACAAGCTCTAAGTAAGAGTTATGCGCTATCACCAGGATCCAGAATCTAGAGAATGAACCACTCGGGCTAGTCATGCCCGCAGCTCAGCAGAGTAAAAGAACAAGTCACCCTGCAAACTTCCCCCACACATTTTCTTCCTCTGTCCCCTTCTCCCTGTCCTCTCCTATCTTGTCTCCTTGACAGGGTCTCACTTTGAAGCCTTTTTGGCTCCAAACTGGTGATCTTGGTGCCTCAGCCTCCTGAGTGCTGTGATTATAGGTGTGTGTAGCAATGCTCAATGCCACCCGTTTTTCTTATGAGATGGGATAGGAAGGCAGGGGTGTCTTGTGGACATGACAAGAGGGAAAAGAAGCCCCTCTCTCTGGAATTTGGTGGAAGCCTTTGCCAGCAGCGGGAGCAATAATTCCAGCACAACTGACAGCCCTTCTTCCTTACTAGCCAGAATCTTGCAGTTTTGTAAAAATCTCCCAGAAACCTCACATACAGGGAAAGAACAGCACTAAACTCTTTCCATAACCCTAGTAGCCTTTGATTTTATTTGATCAGATTATAATTTCAGGAAAGATGTCTCTGGGGCCATCTCATGTATCTCTCTGATCAAAAGACGGGGGAGGATATAAGGATTCTTTATAACCCTTTGAGATGTAGCTTGAGAGTCACCAAAGCTGGTGCTTACTCTTGGGTGTGTCTTCCTGGAGCACCTCTCTGTGTTAACCCTTGTGCTTAAACCTGTATTAAAATATCTCCAATTAACCCTGAAGCGTCACCTTATTGTACTGGCTAGTTCCAGAATTCCTCTCATCATCAAAGCCCCAAATCCTGGTTTGGAGCTAGTTGAGGTCCTTAGAAGCTTTTGGAGAACTCCTTAAGCTAGTGAGGTCACAGTGTAGAGCTGTGTCTCTGTGTCCTTAATATTAACACTTCTGGGACTGGATTCTGTAGCCCCCTTCAGAGCATACCTTCTCTACTTTCTCATTGGGCTCCCAATCTCTTCCTAAAGCCACCTGTTTGTCCAAATCCTGCTCACTAGTGTTCAAGGTCAAGTGTAGAGGGGAAGCATAGGAGAGAGGAGAAGATGTTGAGGAATTAGACAGTGTCTAGGGCATGTCTTTTTTCCTCTTTCAGTCATTCCATACGCAGTAATGAAGCACCTATGACATGCCAGGATTTTGTAGCAGACACAGATAATTGACCAGACATAGATACTAGTTTTAAGGCACTTGGAGAATCCTGGGGCATATGGGCAGGGTGATTAACTGCTGGGACAAAAGTATAGGATGCTCAGAGCCACAGCAAAGGGGCACTGATGCAGTCTCAGGGCAAGCAAGGCTGCCCAAGCTGAGACTGAGGGTGAGTAGGAATTGGCTATGGGAAGGAGGAGGGCAAGAATGTTCTTGGTAGAAGGAAAAGCACACACTCAGGATCAAAGAGTGGGTGGACTCTCACTTCTGGGGAGAGATGGGAAATTCTAAGAGAAGTCACTATTGCAGAATTGCCCCTTCGCTTGCTGGTCACCATCTGGAATGCCTTCCCCTGCTCCCTTGTGGCTGGCTATCCTTCCCCCTTGTGGTTTACCTCCGTGTCTCCTTTTAAGAGGTGACTTGAAGTGTTTCTGCATAGAGAGGAAGAAGACACACAGGGGTCTGGAGACCTTGGGATGTGAGAAGGCAAAGTCTGCCTGTATTGCTGGGAATATTTATGGTGTTGTAGATTCAAGTACAGAGGGCCATATCTTAGAACAGTCATTGATAGGATCTCTGTGCTGGTTGGAGAGTGGTAGGACTAGTCAGGCTGCAGACAGGAAGAGGGAGGTGAGTCAGGAGCCTTATTTCCTGTTTTGAGTTGGTAGAACTCTGTGCTCCCTATACAGTTTTCCTGTATGACAGGTCCCATCACTTAAAGGATTAAAGTGACACGTGAGGTTTATCTCAAGACTACCTGGCTTATGCCGTAATGCTGAAGTTATGCTAATTGCATACTTTGGATGAAGCCCATAATGTCTATTTCTTAGTCTTGTAAACTGATGTCATCATCATACTAGATACCACTCCCGAAGCCAAGAAAAATGGTATGCAAAATAGGCCTCTTGTATAGTAGACAATATATGCTGAATGAAAGACTTCATGGATTCTAAGTCAATGGGTCCGTAGTGGGTCCGTAGTCTCCATACTGATTCTGGATTTCCCCAGGTGATAGTTGTATGCAGTCAGAATTACTGGCAGATGGAAACCCCACTTTGGTCTGCTTGGCAGCACCCCCAAGTCGTGAATAGAGAGACACGATTTCTCTCTCAAAAAGTGATCACAGTAGAGCTGGAAGGCTTAAGCAGGATGGCATTGAGTTCTGACCCAACTCTCACTGGTCTACACAGCAAGGCCCCATCTCAAAACTAATATTCCTTTACAGAGAGAGGGGGTGGGGAATAAGGGGACCGCTTCCTTCCTTAGGCAAGTTATATTTCCAAGAATTCAAATACTTAAAAACAAAAAGCTTCTGGCCATGTTTACCTGTGTTTCACAGAGTGGGTTGAAATTATTCCCAAAAAAGGGCAGTGTTAGTAAATCTTTGCCCTTCAGAGTTTTGGCAAGGAAACTATGTTATGTTCAGCTAACAACACGCTGGGAATTCTTATGTATGTTAAGTGAATTCCTTGGCTCTTGTGTCTGTGGTATCCATGCTTAAGCATGAACACTATGTTCAGAGTCCTCTGTGTATGGATTTCTATTTAGTAGTATGGAGGTTATTATTTCATCTTATTTCACACTGTTTTCTTTATGCTTATATAGAGTGCTCTCTATTTTTAAATACAGAATTTAATTATTGTACATTGACCAGTTATGAAATTGTATAGGGCATAATTTAAAGTAGTTTTATATTGATTTGTGTGTGTGTGTGTGTGTGTGTGTGTGTGTGTGTGTGTGTGTGTTATGTACACCATGGCACACACTTGTATGGAGATCAGGGGACAACTTGTATAAGTCAGTTCTCTACTTCCCCTGTGTGAGTCCCTGGGATCAGACCTGGAGGCAAGAGCCTTTACCTGCAGAGCCATCTTACTGGCCTTAGGGTGTAACTGTGATACATGTTTGTGATGATTAAGCCTAGTTGTCACTCAACTGAATCAAGTTCCCTTAGGAGGTTAGTCAAGCCTACCTCCATGATATACATGAAGATGTCAGAACTGACAAATGAAAGAAGGATGACACACCCTGAGTCGGGGCTCTGCCATCCCATAGGTTGGGAGTCCAGGTGGGATAAAAATGGGAATGAAGGGTAAAGGGAGAGAGCTAGTCAGTGTAGGATTTGCTTACTCAGCATTCCAGCTGTCATGATGTGTGATCCCCCACCACACACACACACACACACACACCCTCCCTACCAAGAGACAGGGAAAAGGTAAGCCATTCCTCCTTCCAAGTGTTTATTATAGATATTGTTGCTACAACAAAACTCTGACACAAGAAAGTTACATGGCAGTGATGCATTTAAATTATTAATATAATTTAACACTTGAAAAGCTGATTGTAATACCTCCCAATATTTCACCTTGAAAAAATTCAAAAATATACAATTGTTAAAAGAATAATAAAATATCTGCCATCTAGATTCTAGTGTATTCGCATTTGGTCATAACTGCTCTCACTTTTTTCCTGAAATGCTGGAAAATGTGTCTCAGACACTATGAAATTTCACCCCTAACTGTTCATCAGATACCACCTCATATTAAGGAACTTATTTCAAATGGATGCACTGCTGTGGTTCCAACTATGTAAAATTAACAAACAACATCCGTAAAAGCTCCTGTGACAGCCTGGAGTATGCAGCAGAAAAACAAAGACCCTGTCTCAAACAAGGTGAAAGGCAGCACCCAACGTTGTCTTCTGACCTTCACACTCATGTAGGGATTCTCCTATCTCCCTGCAGGGTTATGTATGGGATTACCAGCACTTACATGACTCATCCAGCATTTGTGTGGGTTTTGGGATTTGAACCCAGGTCCTCACATCATATTTGCAAGACAAGCACTTTTACCCACAGAGCCATCTCCCCAGGCCCATTGATTTTTTTTTAAAAATGAGTTCTTTCTTTACATGAATGTGTGCACATGTGCACACACACACACATGCACAGATGAACACATACAATCAAGACTTCATATTAAGAACTGTGATTTATATTTAACATTTAGAAATTTTGTTTGCCTTCTTTTAGTTTGTATGTATGTTTCTTTACTTTTTCAGTGAAATCTTACTTCTTGTGATATCATATTTATCCATTTTCCTATATTAGTTTAAAAATGAAGGTAGTAGTAACTGACACTACAAACCTAATTGGCAAATTTTAAAGTTTCTTTATTGATCTTTTCTTCCCCTAGGCTGTATCCTAAGCAGAGAGCACTGTGTTTCTACTAACCATCTTTTCTATGTGGTTATCTGATTAGATGGATGTACAGTTTTGTTTGATTATTTTTATTATTGTTTGTCTTTTCCACTCTTTCCCCTTATATTTTGTCTTTTAAACAAGATTTTGGCAGGATTTGAAAGCCAAAATTGTATAAAAAGTTATTTCATTTTCATCACTGTTTCCTTTACACTCTTCCACTGACTCCTATTGACAGTCATTTTTATTTTCTGGCTCTTCCTTCCTCCCTCCCTCCCCTTTCTTCCCCTTCCTCTCTTCCCTCCTTCCCCCTCCCTTCTTTCCTTCCAAATGCAAGGTCTAGTTATATAGCCCAGGCTATCTTCAAAATCATGGTGGCTTTCAGTCTCTCAAGTTCTATCATGCCCAATTCTTTTGTTAATTGAATTATCTTTTGTGTTTCTTTTTTTATAAAACTAAGCAAACATGTAACTATTAGTTCTCATTTTTCTTTCATGGGAGGCAGTATTTTTCCCTTAACAACATATCCTACAAATCATTCTATACCAGTTCCTAGAAATATATGCATATATTATAGTATAACATAGATATATATTATAGCTGCATGTATCTACCACACTTTGTTTAGCACTAACTTTGGGTGTTGAGGCTATTTTCAATCTTTTATTATCCCAAAGCCACTGTGAATAACCTTCCATGTTCAGATTTGTGGCAGGATCTTCTTTAAGACTCTTAGAAATGAGTCCCCTGGCTTAAAGATATATGTACATTATGTTGTCAGCTATTGTCAAAGCTTCTGCCACAGGAGTGAAGGCATTTCAGTCTTCCTTCAGCAATGCATGAGGGTGCATTTCTATGTTGGATGCACATTACAAGAGACATTTTATGAGTATGCAAATGACTGAAGAGTCACCTTTTGGTACTAAGTGTGAGCTGAAGACCAGGTGTTTTAGACCCTTCAGGAAGTAGCCAGACTGTGGTAGTGACCTAATGGCACTCTGTAGAATATGCCATTGGTGCCCTGCCCATTTCAGTTTAGTACGAAAACCTTAACTTCTCACCACCTCCCTGCTTTTATCTCTCTGGTGAAATGCAGGGCAGAATCACCAGGGACCCCGTGCCCTCTGGGGGTGGCCCTTAGTGCATGGCTGTACAATACCCTGCCTCTCTGGTCTTGATATGCTACTCTGGGGCCTCCAGAGTAACCACAGGGAGCTGTCCCATTGTGGCAACTGGCTCAGCTGTGCACCTTCCATATGTTCTGTCTGATTCCACCTTTCTGCAGTGGAAGGTTTTTACTTTGCCAGCAAACTGATTGCATTCTGATCCTCATCTCAGGACCTGTGTTTTAGAGATGAGCAAAAAAAAAAATAAGTGGTTTCCTAATGCATTCCTGCAAGTATCAAACACACACGTATGTTATTAGAAATAATCCAGGGATAAGTTATTCTGTCATTTGATAGAATTGTCAGTTTAATATCTCCAGTAACATGAGTGATGCTAAGATGGTCCAGTAGAGTCTCCATGTGCTGCCAGTGTCTTCAGTGATGAGAAATGACAGTGCTCTTTGTAGAAACACACGTGGAAAAGCAGGTGAATGTGAACGAAGAATTAATGATCAACATGACTGAGGGCTGATGAGATGGCTTAGTAGGTTAAAGTGCTTGCATGAGGACCCAAGTTCAGATTCCCAGCAGCACATAATAGGATAGGTTTGAGCCAGGCATGGTGGTGCACACCTTTAACCTCATCACTCAGGAGGCAGAGGCAGGTGATCTCGCTAAGCTCAAGGCCCATGTGGTCTATATAGTGAGTTCCCAGGCCAGCCAGGGCAACACAGTGAGACCCTATCTTAAAATAAAATGAGTCTGAGATTATACACCTATAACCCCAGTACTGAGGTAGCAAAGATTTTTTTTTTAACTCATTGGTCAGCCGGCCTAGCCTAGACTAACCTTTCTTCAGAAAGCAAATCAGAGTGTTTGAGGAAGACATTTAACATCAGCATCAGGCATCCACAGGTGCTAGAGAGTACCCTTTAGTTCATATAACAAACACACATGAACACATACACACATATACACACATGCACAGAATAAAATAAAAATAGTAATAATAATAATAATAATAATAATAATAATAATAATAATAATACAATTGATGCCCCATTTTGTGAAACAGTCCCAAGTGCTGTGATGATAAGAGCTGTCAATAAGCAGAGAGGAATTTAGGGAAGACTAAAAAAACTATGTTTATATTTGTGTGTCTGTGCGTGCATGAGTGCAGGTGCCCATGGAGGCTAGAGGCATCATTTCTCCCGTGCCTGGAGCTGGAGTTACAGGTGGTTCTGAGCTGTCTCACGTGGGTGCTGGGAATTGAACTCAGATCCTTTAGTGAGAACAATCTGCTCTCTTAAATGAGCCACCTCTCCAGCCCCAAGGACTTCTTGTAAGAAATCAATCTTAGAAGAGAAGTCAAGGGCAGCTGGAGGCTTCACAGGGCCACAGAAAATAATTCTGGATAAAAATGTAATTGGGGTTATTTTTTAAGCACAAAAGTTTTGCATGTAGATTACCAAACCTATCGTGTAAACATTTTGATCCATTCAAAGGAATAAAGATCACTAGACACAGATAAACAAGAGAAAATTTCTATATCATATTTCAAAAGATAGGTTACTAGTTAAAGCAAAAGTAATCATGATGTATCAGGAGCTTATGGGAGCCTGTGGATGGATAGCAGTAATAGCAAAATGGCAAGGATGGAGGATGTGACAGTATACAGTGGCAAAGTTTTTAAATTATGCATCAAATCATGAAATATTAATTCATGGTAGACTACAATAATTTAAAATGTTTACTATAAATCTCAAAGCTGCTACTGAAAGTTGAAAGAAGACATACTAAATTACAGAAAGAGGAAAAAGAATAAAGGTACAGTCAGTTTAAAATAAGACAGAAAAAGAAGAAAAGAGGATAAAGAAAACATGAGACAAAGAAAAAGACCAATGGATTTAAACCCAGCCAGATAAATAACAACATTAAATATAAATAATCTAAACATCGAAGCAGGGAGATTTCAGTTTGTGTCAAGAAAATGCAAAAGTCTTCAAGATGCCATCTCTAAGACAATCACTTAAAATACAAATCTTAAAAAATTTTAAAGATAAAGGAACATATTGATGCCTTAGTTACTTTGTTATTGCTGTCATAAAACACTGTGACCAAGGCAACTTACAAAAGATAACATTTAGTTTGGAACTTATGGTTTCAGAGGATTAGAGTCCATGATGGTGGAGCAAAGACATAGTGGCAGGAACATCTGAGAGCTCACATCCTCATCCAAATGTTGGTATAGAGAGAAAGAGACTGGGGGTGGCTTGAGTCTTTTAAAACATTATAGCCCTCTTCCAACAAATCACACCACCTAATCCTTCTCAAATAGTTCTACCAACTGGCCCAAGCATTCAAACTTGTGAGCCTATGAGGAACATTCTCATTTAAGTCATCACAACCGAAACTAATTAGAAGGAAGGGGGATTGTTATATTGATATCAGACAAAGTAGATTTCAGAGCAATGAATATCACCAGGGTATAGAGTAACATTTCAACTGGTGTAGTGGCACACATCTCAACACTTGGAAGATAGAGGCAAGTGGGCCTCTGTGAGTTCAAAGTCAACTGGGTCTACATAGTGAGACCCTGCCTTTAAACAAACAAACACATCAGTCAATCAATAAATAAGTATCATAGTAGTGAAGAGGTAACTTCACCAGAATGCATATATTAACAACAGCCCCAACAAGTTCTCAAAACTCACAAAACAAGAGCTGATTAAATTTCAAAGAACAAGAGAAAAAATACTACAAATTCTGTAAAACTTCCCAGAATGTTGAAGATGAAGCATTTGTTAAGTCAGTCTGTGAGACAGCTCTCACACAAATTATCTCCAGACCTGACAAAGACAAAACATTCTTTAAGGACATAGACAAAATTTGAGCAAATTAAATCAAGCAATCTATTTAAAGAAAGAATGTCATGACAAAGTGAAGTTAAACCATTGATTTAACATCTAAGAACTAACATAATTTCTCATACTAACAAACAAAAAGGGTCTTCACCCCAATTGACCATGGCATTCTTTGTCTAGGATTCAGTTCCTTCTGATATAGTGACTTCTGGTGAATGAGTGTGGGTTGTAAGTCCAGCCATGGGGTGAGACTTAGGTGGGCTCCTACTGATGGGGGCTTTGGGGCCTCTGATGTGTGCCACAGACAGTTTGGGCTACTTGTTTTGGTGTCAACAAAGTTGGGAAGGAAAGTTCTATAATCAGACTTGGGACCCAGAGCATATTTCAGTTTATTCCTGACCCCCATGACAGCCTGGGTAGCTCTGGGCATGGGGCTGGGTAAAGATGGGGTTGTGGACTGCGTCCTGGTGGTCATGTCTGCTCTTCCTGTGTCCAGGTGGATCATTATTCCTTGCTGTCCACCTTGCAGCTGGTGTACACCGTGGGCTACTCCCTCTCTCTCATCTCCCTCTTCCTGGCTCTTACACTCCTCTTGTTTCTTCGGTGAGTAGAAAGACCCACAGCATGTGGTCAGATACATGCCCTGTGAGGTGCTCAGTGGTCATCACTGGGAGGCAGTAGAAGACTCTGCTGGATGATGTCATGGATCTTCAGAGTTGGAAGCTTGAGATTCTTGAATGCATCCATTCCTTTTTTAGACGAGAGGACAGAATGTTCCAGTGAGGGGTATTGAGGTCCTTACTCATGGGAGAGACATTTGGATACACAGATAGACCTTGAAGTGGGGGACTCCTGACTCTTTGCCTAAGTTCCTGACCACTCCCTTTACCACCACAGCCCAGGCAAACCACAGTCCCACCAGAACCATTATTTGCACACAAGACTTCTCCTTAGAAAAGTCATGGTAGAACTTGGGTTTGAATGAGACCTATGAACCCCAGCCAGCTGCCAGCCACTGTAATTCCTCTCCTCATCTGATTTAAGACTAATTCTAATTCTAGAAGGTTACTGTTAGTTGTCCTATTTTATAGGTGAGCTAACTAAAATGCAGAAAGTTGAAATGACTTGCTTAAGACCACATAGCTGTTGGGTGACAGAGCCAGGTTTACAACCAACCAGTCTATTGCACTGTTTCAAAACCTAAGGCCCCAGTGCATTTTAATAAACTATGCTTTAGGTGTCTCCCAAGTGAGACAATTATGAATCCACCAGGAAGCCCTCCAAGGAGGTTCCTCAGTCAGAGGCACTGGTGAGTATAACATGGCAGAATGTGCATTCAATACTGCTGCAAGAGGCCTATATGAAGACCCTGGAGACATGGGAGGTGGAGCGCCCCCCCCCACACCTAGGCTCACATGCCTATAGTTCATTTGTCTCCCTCATGACCTTCCATGGCTACTGGAGCAGCCATGACATCTACCTACTGGAGAACACTCTCCAGGATCTGCTGACTATACACTAACCCCTTTCTCCATGCACTTTTCCAAGTATCCAGCCCAAGCCAGCAGAAAGTAACTGCCTGGTCCAGCAGGAGGTAAATTCATCAAGGCTTGGCTTGACCAAGTGTCTGTTTTGCTTGACCGTCATGGTCTAGCCAGGGAAAAGCATGCATACACCATAAATGCAGGGGTCTACCTCCATTTGGAAGATGTCAAGGCAACACTAGGAGGAAAGGAAGTAGGATGGGGTAGGTGCTGCATGAAAGGCACAGAGGTGGACAGACAGTCCCAGGACACACAGTGCCATGACAGTCTGAATCACAGAGGGCTATGGGGAGACTGCAGACAGAAGTAATTAAAGATGACATTTTTCTCTGGACACCTCTTACATGATTTTATATGAGTTAATGGATGTGATTTTCCCTTGGACTCTGAGATAAATGCTCTAATTCTCAGAGACAGCTGAGCCTTGGCGAGCCAGATTCTAGCCTCAGCATTTCTGGGCCTGCATTCAGTTCCACCACTCACTGCCCAGGGATTTCTGCCATGTACAGAATCCTGATTGTTGTAAGAGGGCCTACTCCTCCAGTGGCAGCCAGAAGTGAGGGTGTCATAGGCCCCTGTATGTATGGCCTGTGATGCCAAACATGGTATCTGGGGAGCCGCTTATTGTCCCATTTTACAGATGGGGAGGGTAAGGCGCCTAGACCAGCAGCCTGCACTATGCACCTCCATCTCTAGTGACAGTCGCACAGGTGGTCAGGCCTGCATTTCCAGCCATTCTTTCCTGAGGGAAGGCACCTGGTGTTCTTTTGTGCAGAAAACTGCACTGCACACGCAATTACATCCACATGAACTTGTTTGCTTCGTTCATCCTGAGAGCACTGGCCGTCCTGGTGAAAGACATCATCTTCTACAACTCTTACTCCAAGAGGCCTGACAACGAGACACCTGACAATGAGAATGGATGGATGTCATGTCTGTCAGAGGTAATCCCCTCCCACCTGACAATGAGAATGGATGGATGTCATGTCTGTCAGAGGTAATCCCCTCCCACCTGACAATGAGAATGGATGGATGTCATGTCTGTCAGAGGTAATCCCCTCCCACCTGACAATGAGAATGGATGGATGTCATGTCTGTCAGAGGTAATCCCCTCCCACCTGATGGGGCAGAGCTGGCAGTGGGCGGGCGTGGATTGGTGAAGGAGACAGAGTTAGAGGGTCTTGAAGCCTCTCTGATAGAGAGGCAGTGTATGACTTAAAAAACAGCCTCCCAAGGGTGGGCAGAGTAAGTGGATCCAGAGGCTAATGGCCTCGATCCTCCTGCTTCTGCCTCAAGAGTACTGGGATTACAGGTGGGTGCCACCATGCCCCTACATTAGTAGGTTTTAAGTTATGGGAGAAAGAGAGATGGCTTAGTGGCTAAAGCACTTGCTGTGCAAGCATGAGAGCTGGAACTGGCTGGCTGGCTAGGCTAGCCAGATCAGCAAGCTCTAGGTTCAAGTGAGAGACTGTGCTTCAATATATAAAGTGTAGATAAATCAAAGAAGAGAGCTAGTGTCAACCTCTCATCTACACACACACACACACACACACACACACACACACACACACCTGTAAAGAGCCTTGAGAAATGGATTAATCATGAGTCTTTCTTGTTACATTTGTTTATTTGTGTGCACAGGAGTGCATATGGAGTCAGAGCACAGGGTTAGAAGGAGTTGATTCTTTTCTCCCACCACGAGGGTCCCGGGGATCGAATTCAAGGTGGTTAGGATTAGTGGCAAGCACCTTTACCTGTGGAGCTAGCTCTCTGGGCCCTTAATCATGAATCTCATTTTCAGAATTTCTATTTCTCGAGTGTTTGTATACATTTCGTGTAATCTTTCAAGTTTCTTGGCATAATATTGCTACCTTCTCTGTAGCTTTTCTTCAAGTATGTAATTGTGTTTTCATTTTCAGTATTATTTATATCTTAGCTGTTTAACTTTCACACCTTGATACTTCTTGTTAGAAGTTTCTCAGTTTTTTTGGACTTTTCCAGGAACAAACTCTTAGCAATATTGAGCCCTTTTATAGTTTATATTCTCATTTGCACTCATTTCTACTTTCATTACTTCCTTCCATGGAATTTCTTTGGGTTGAATCTGCCGTTATGTTTTTCTAACTTTTCTCACAAGAACTTACAGTATCTGATCTTCAATCTTCTCTTTTTAGATAGTCCACTTAAGGGCACAAGTTCCCTTAGTTGCACAGTACAAAGTTTGGCACACTGTATTTTTTTTTAAATACTAAGTTCAAGAAATACTTCTTATTTGTTATTGAACCTGAAACCTATATGTGATGGTTTCTAGTCATGTGAAGATTTAGTCATTTATTGCAGTTCCTATTCTAGTTGACCTGAGGCTAGAGAACAGACCCTTCCTTCCATGCTTTCATTTAGGCTGGTGCTGATGGTGAACTCTCTCTGATTTTGTGTTCTCCCTCCCTCCCTCCTTCCTTTTTTCTTTCTTCATTTAATTTTGTATGCATGTGTGTGTATATCATGTGCATGAAGAAACATGGAAAAATAAACAGAAAAGGGTATCAGATCCATTGGGGCTAGAGTTACACAAATGGTTGTGAGTCACCATGTGGGTGATGGAAACCAAACCCAGGTCCTCTGTAAGAGTGATAAGTGCTCTTAACCATTGAGCCATTTCTCTAGCCTCTTGCTTTTTTTTTTTTTTTTTTTTTAAGTCTACTTGTGCTTACAAGAAGTCCTAGGTTCCCTAGGAACCACAAAAACAAGGAGTTGTGGCTCACACCTGTAATCTCCACATTTAGGAAGGAGAAGACGGGAGGATCAGAAGTTCAAGGCCATCCTTGACTACATAACAAGTTCAAGCCTGGCCTGGTATACATAAGACACCCGTGTCAAAACAAAAACAAAAAGAATGCCCAGAATGTCAAGGAAGGGATTGACCTTTAAAGGGTCCATGGAGCCTTCTTGCCAGCTTCTTGGAGATAATCACCAAAGGCTCAGGAAAGAGGGGAGGGCAGGCCTGGGCATGTGTGTGCTAGGGGAGGCCGTGCTCACCCAGGTGCTGCCTGAGAACGCAGGACTCACCCAGGTTCTGCCCCTGCAGATGTCCGCATCCTGCCGCTGCGTCCAGGTCCTCCTGCACTACTTTGTGGGTGCCAATCACTTGTGGCTGCTGGTGGAAGGACTTTACCTCCATGCTCTGCTGGAGCCCACGGTGCTTCCAGAAAGGCGGCTGTGGCCCAGATACCTGGTGGTGGGTTGGGGTGAGTGACATGACTCTCATCTCCTCTCCCAGGGACCCATCAGACCATAGGAGCCTGATAGAGCCTTTAGTTAGAATCCTAATTAGAGGATGACAACTGGAGTAGATAATTTCTCAGTGACAAAGGTCTCTGAAGAAAATGTGGGTGTGTGCCTATATACATGCACGTGCATACACATAGACATACGTGCACAAGCACAGGCCCTGTACGCTCAATGCACACATGAAAAAATGGAAAGATTTGGCACAGCCAGAAGACTTCCTTCTTACCCTCTTTCCAACTATATTAGACTGCTCACAATGCCATAACAAAATATCTGTGTGGCTCGGGTGATAAACAATGGTTTCTCCTGTTCCTGGAGGCTGGGAGTCCAGTGTGCTTGCATCCTGGTGAGGACCCTTATCCTAGTGTGCACAAAACTGCCTTCCTGACCATGTCCTCGCATGGTGGAAAGAGAGAAAATGAGACCTTCAATCTCTTTTCATAAGGACACTAATCCCATTGTAAGGACCCCAACTCAGAACACTTTCTAAATCTAGTTATCCCACATTCCCCATTATCAAATACTATCACAGTGGTGACAGGCCTTCAACACAGGAATTTGGGGATGACACAATCCCTGTCTGTGACATCAAGTCTTTTGGAAAATAAAAGGTATCATCATCATCATCATCATCATCATCATCATCATCATCTTAAAAGTATATGGGTATTGTGATCTGGAACTCAGTTTCCAATAAGCCCTTGGTCAATTAGATGCTACAGAACTCAGAGGAAGTAAATGGACCCATGATATTCCTGATGAAAGATTTGACTGAAGCCCATGGATTTACTCCAAACTACTTTGTGACAGATGGCAAGCCCTTTCTCCCCAGGGCCCAGCTTCTCTGACAGTAGAGTCATGGTTGGTCTTGGGCTATCCTAAGCCTCACCAGTTCTCAAAGTCCTGATTCTATATTTGTTTTTTATCCTTTGGAGAATTTGTTCTGGGCCCCATCAGGCTGGTGGGAGCAGGAGGTATTAGACAAGTAACTCTTAATTACCTTCTCTGTTTTCTACACAGCCTTCCCCATGCTGTTTGTTATTCCCTGGGGTTTTGCCCGTGCACACCTGGAGAACACAGGGTAAGTGACCCACCCAATAGTCAGTCTTCCTTGGACCAGCAATTCCCAGACATGCCCAAATATAAGAAATGAGTTCACTTTTCCAAATTTGATGTGACTATCCAATTTCTCCTATGCTGTTCTTCTAGAATGTAACAGGAGTATAGCTTAGTCAATGAACTTGGAGTAGCCTATTAGTTACACATGTAAATTATCAAAGAATGCTGTCTAGACCAGCTTTGGTGCTGGGTGGGTAAAGACAGAAGCATGGAGTAGTTGCTATAGCTTTGTTCATATGAGAGAAAATAGCAACTTGAATATACATTGGTGGAAGAATCATTACGCACAACGTGGCACAGCTATATTGTGAAATACAGTGCAAAGACTAAAATACACCAAGAACACAAGTTAGTTCTGAATATCCTAACTTACAGGAACTGATTCTCAGAAAGTGTTTTAAGCCTGTTCCTAAGTAATGCGTATTGTGTGATCTATTTTTCCCTCCAAATAACCATCATCTAGCCTTCATATTTACATATGGATATACACATATATTCCTAAATACGTGATATGTGAAATAAAGAGAACAAACTATTGGGGAAAGTAATAAGGGTCTATAACCCAGGGTTTTTGTTTGCATGCACATGGAGGAAAATGTGGAAGGATCTATGCAGTACACTCCTAATGCTGAAGAACAATTTCATGGTAGGAAGTCAATAGTTCTCTTTTGCCCTCATCCCTCCTCTTAGGAGATGGACTGGCAGACAGTTACTCTCAAAGGCAGACAAGCATCCTTCTTCCATAGGGCATGAAACTTGGGCATTCATCCTCATCTCATGTCTCTTCTACTCCTGACCTTGTCCGTAGGTGCTGGGCAACAAATGGAAACAAGAAAATCTGGTGGATCATCCGAGGACCCATGCTGCTTTGTGTGACAGTAAGGACCATCCCATCCATCCCTTTCTTCTATGGGCTCTGCATCTTTGGGGAACATCCCACTATCCATCCTCACCTCCCTCCTAACTCCTCAAATCTCTGGTCCATGAGAGGGGGAATATGAAATGTGAGCAGTTCCTCCTGGGTGAGGAAGTAGAAACTTCTAGTTTGGGACCTAAATCAGGGTGATGCTGTAAGCCTCCATCTCTCTGGATCTTTAAATGGGGACTTGAAGTCAGTTCTTAGATCCTGCACTGAAGGGCTTTGACAGGGAAAGGGCTATCTGTGGTCTTGCGAGACTTTAGAAACCACGAACTATCAGTGTGTGTCTTTGATTGTTGGTTTGAGACAGGGTCTTGCTACATGGCAGAGACTAATCTCCAACTCATGGTAGTCTCCTGCTTCAGCCTGCCCATTAGGTTACAGATGTGGGCGACCATGCCCTGCTTAGCTTTGATCTTAATGCCATTAGCAGGTGGGAGAAAGAAACCAAAGAAATTATTCTCAGAGGAGAAACATGTGCAATCAGTGTTACTACAAAGCAGTCATGGCCAATGGAATAGATACTACTATCAGGAGTAGGTTGGACATGGTCTTGTCGTGGTGCAGAAGACTTTAAGGGGAAAGAAATCACTGGCCTAGAGGAACATATACATTTAATGTGTGCTTCTTAAACTTTTCAACTTGTGATCTCTTTTCTCCAAAGCAAGTCTTTTGGAATCCCACGTGTATCTACATATAGAATATGGCTACAACCCAAACATTTATCGACAGTGAATTCAAAAGAAATTTGCTTTAAAAGAATTCCTTGGCATGCTCATGATTTGACCATTTTATAAAAGCAAGTTGGCACACTAGTGAGATCAACATGCTCACTTATTTTTACATAAAGAATTAAATCTTGGCTCAATATTTGATAATGCATTTTCAATGTTTTTCAGAGTTGCTAGACATTTTGGTTTTTATAATTGTTAATGTTGAGAATGTCATTTCATATAAATATGTAGTTCAAAATGGCAGAAGTATGTTTAGGGCCATTTTAGAAATTGTTGAAGATTCTTCCCAATACCAAGCTGAAATTCACATAGCAATTTTAAAAGTGAAACTTAAATTAGCAACTCAAATAGCAGTTTTTGGAAAGGTTTATTTTTTTTAAGATTTTAATTAGAGAGAGAGAGAGAGAGAGAGAGAGAGAGAGAGAGAGAGAGAAAGACACATGTGAGTCTGTAAGTGCTGGTGCCCTTGGAGCTAGAAGAGGGTATCAAATTCCCTAACGCTGGAGTTACAGGCAGTTGAGCCACCTGATGTAGGTGCTAGGAACTGAACCTGGGTCTTCTGGAAGAGCAGCAAACACTCTTAACTGATGAGCCACCTCTCCATCCCCTCAAACAGCTCTTTTTTTTTTAAAATCAAACATTCTAACTATTTATTCTAGAGATAAGCGAACTGAATACTTACACCAATGGTAGAGAAGTGTAAACTCTTTCTGGAATTAAATCATTGTGCTTCTCTAAAAGAAGAAAACTTTGTACACAGAGTGGAAACACTTCCATTCATAAAACACAAGTCTTGAACCTAAGCTGAGGAGTCTCAGACAGTGTTCACTGGCCTGAGCCATGTAAGTGTGCATGTTACATCTTCAGAACCAAAGTTGTATCAAGTTTCACGATGCAACGTGGGAAAATGCCAGAAACACATTGGTTACATGCATTTAATTTTGAACTAAGTTTTTGGTTGTTGTATGTTTTGAAGTCTTTCACTAGCACTAATGCTTTGTGACCTCCTACATTCATTAATGTGACCCCATGTAAACTTGTGACCCACAGTTTAGGAACTGGGATTTAGTCGATGATGTGTGAGGCCAAACTTTGTTAAAGAAACTGGCAGGGAGGTGCAGGGGGCTAACAACAGGGGCCTGACAAGTTCCACTGGGGTCGGGTGGAAGATCTTCCTGCCTGTTTCTGAATGACCACTGGATAGCTAGCATTGTGTTCCATGCCATTGCCAAGGGGTAGCTGGATGGTCTATTTTGGCTCTTTTATGTAGATAGCATAGGATCCTGAAAGAAAAAAAAAAAGGTTTTGTAGAAGATTGCTAATGTTTGCAACAACTCAAGGAAATTCCTTGCTTGAACCTAGCTGTGACCTACAAGGAAAATGTGCATAGAAATGGTGTCCCACAATTGCAAGTGGTATATCTACTACTGGTTATCTCCCCTCTGCCATTGAACACTTGCCTGAGGGAGAATATTCAAGTAGAAGTTAGCTACACATGTCTTACTCACAGGACCCTGGGCCCTCACCTCTCCAATCATTCAGTTTTCTGCTATTCTGTCCTCTCTGGTCACACTTCCCCATAGGAGGCTCAGAACCCACCTCCTTGCCCTGGGAACAGGACCATTGTCTGGTAACATTTACAAAGGACCTCCAACCAATGCCAACTCTTAAGTGCTTTGAGTATATGAACTCAATTAATCTTCTTAATGAGCCTACAAAGTTGAATCGTTATTATGTTTATGTTTTGGTAAGGACACTGAGAAGCTGAGAAGTTATTTGTCTCAATAATCATAGACCATGTTAAGTTGGATGGCTGAATAATAATTCCACTTATTGCTTCTCCAAACACATTTCATCCAGGCCTGTGCCCACGGTATTTATGGCTCTTTCAGACATGAGTCCCAGCTGACTTCCCCACCATCTGTTCACTGGGGGATCCAGTGTTTATCTTTCAGGTCTTCGGTCAAACACCAGCTTCTCTGTGCCACTGGGCCAGGACTCTCACCTTGCAACCTTCTGGCTTCCGTACTTCCTGGCTTCTGCTCCAGCTCCAATACATTTTCAAGTATTTGCTCAAGAGCTTCTTGCTGCCACTGTAAACCATATTTTCTATTCATCCCAGCAACCAGCTTACATATATGGTGGCCCCATGGTAAGCACATTTAATCTATTATTGGAATTCACATTCCAAGTCCTATAAGGTGCTTGTTCACCAGGCAGAATGATCCAGAGATGTTACTAATCCTCCCTGAGATGGAGTCCAGACTCTGTCCAGCTGGACCACTTGTGGCAATGTCTTTCTTGCACAAAGAAAGCCTGTCGGGGGGTCAGAGAATGGCGCTTGCCACTAGCTAACCATAGAGGTCTGGAGGTCTGTACAGACAGACAGGAGGTGAGGTAGCTGGGCAGAAACAGGATATAAGCAGGAAGAAACAGGAAATTGCTCTCTTCTTTGCTGAGACATTTAGAAGGTAAGGTGTGCTGTGGCTTGCTCCTTCTCTCTGATCTCTCAGCATTTCCCTCTTTATCTGACTATGGCTTTTTATTATCTAGACCAATTAAGAACTCCTTTTACAATCACTGATGTTCACACTGCCATCTTTAGAAGCTTGATCGATAGTTCCCAAACATAATTGCTCTTGGAATCCCTTGGATATCTTTAACATTTCTTGTGGCTTGAGTACCGTTGTAGACACTTAGGTTTCATTGGTCTCACAGAGGGCTTGAGAGTCTAATTGGTAGCTCATGTTAAAAAACATTTTACCATACCATTGTTCTTCCAACAATAGTCCTTCGGCCAATAGCATCAGCAGCAAACTGTAATGTGTTTATTATCAATTCAGATTCTTGTCACCCCCCCTCCAAGCTATGGAATAAGAATCCCAATAGGATCCCTGGGGTTTAGATACATATTAAAATAGATAAAACTATCAACAAATGTGGTTCTCAAAATGGGCTGCACATTAGAAACACCCCGCTGGCTCAGACCAGTCACAGTAGAAAACATGGGAGAAAGGCCAGGCAGCTGAGCCTTTAGAAGTTCTCAAGTGACTTTTTTGTTGTTATTCTTGTTGTTTTGTTTTTTGAGACAGGGTCTCGTAGCCCTGGCTGTCCTGGAACTCATTCTCTACACCAGACTGGGCTTAAGCTCAGAGATCCACCTGCCTCTGCCTCCTGAGAGCTGGGATTAAAGGCGTGTGCCACCATCTTCCGGCTTCAAGTGACTCTTATGCAAAGCCACGGCTAGAACCATCACCCTGGGCCTTGCTGCTTCTGCCTTTTACAGTGGGTAGACCAGTCTTCTGTGATGCCGGTCTTTCCTGGTTCCTGGAGTAACATTCCCCCCTCCCCAGCAGGGAAGGAACATTTTTTTTGTCTTCTCGGCTTAGATAAAATGATCTTCACTTGCTGCTGTTTCTAAAACTCTGGTTATGATCAGCTCCATATTTACTTTAGGCCACAATGGGCTCTCATTCTTTTATGCATTCTTCTTTTCCTTTTGCTCTTTCTAGTCAAGCCACAGTTTTTTGATGCCCCACAGCTCCTGTCTTCTCTCTTCCTGGAATATCCTCTCAGACTTCAAATTGACATTATTCCTTAAAGTTCCTTCCAGGACACCTCCTTCTTAATTCCACATTTACTGCATTTACTCAGCCCTCGTGTGGTGCCCTCTGCAAATGCCCCTTAATTGATTCCCTTCCTTCTTTTCCCTGGCAATCAAGCCTCCATACTGTAGCAAGATGATCATGTTGGAGAAAAATCCAATTACATCTTTTTTCTTATTATTATTACTCTTCAATGAATCAGCCTAACACTCAAGATTGGTCCCAGAACCTTTAATATAAATGCTGCTAGATCCCGAATGTTTGACCACAAAACCCTGTGTTTTACCTATATGGAGAAACTCAAAGTTCTCCTTCTACATTGGAATGTTTGTTCCTTTATGTGACCATCTGAGGGCCCCAAATTTCTCCTTGGAAGTCAATACTTTAGATGATCTTTCTATTCCATGATCAGCAGAAGTCATTGGATATGCTTGGAAAAGAGCATTTCTATAAAGATCGTAGGGAAGATGCTGCTAACCACTGTTGTCTGTGTCTGCAGCTATTTGGCCAAGACCTTGAATGGAAACTGGAGGGATGTTCCTTTGATAAAGACAAGACTATTTGCTGTTAGCTGGTAGAACAAGGCATGATCCATAATTTTCATGGTTGGCCATCTGACC